AGAACAGAAGAGAACAGAGGAGAAGAAATTCACTAACAGCTTATCCCAAGGTGCTTTTCTTTTTGTCACCTTCGGTGCTTTTCATTGGCGATAAAAAGGCCGATTCCTTTCGGCTTAAGAAAACGCTATTTTGAAATTTGATTTCCTTTTATGTGACGTATTTAAATGAGCAGCACTTACAAAATGACCATTCAAAATTAAAATGGTTAAATATTTTTATGCCCATCTCATAAATATCTTAACTATAGTATTCGCAGTCTTGGTTCTTCAAAAGGCGCGTTTATTCACCCTTTTGTATGGACAATCGGTTGATATAAAACTTGTTTAGCGTTTTATTCATATGAGGTAGTGCTGTAGCGACCAACTCGAAGTTCGTGTTCTTTCATCGCTTTGTGCACTTTGAATCCGCACAAAATTGCTTTGGTTTCGTTGAATGAACTCACGAAATACGTTTTGCCGATATTTCTATGGAAAAAGGTCTTTAGTTCAACGTCGGAAAATAAATTAATTGTATACAGGAAAAGTCCTGACAAGCGTCAAGGGATTGAATTATAAAATTGAAGTTTGCGGTCCACTTTAGCATCCTCCAACTTAATTTCGACAAAATGAACTTGTCATTGAAATAGAATAGGACATAAGAAAACCCGCTCAATGAAAAGAAAAAAGATAAATTCAAACTGAATTCACACGCCTTTATCTTCAGGCGCTAGCTTGTAAAGGCTTGTAGTTTTTGTATACTTAAGGAAACGTAAACGTCCGCCCATCATATTTTTCATCCCACGTATCATTTTAATGCCAGGCTAGTTGGAAATCACTCGAGAATTTAGTCGATCTCTTGAGAAACAAGAAATGTGAAGCGGCACTTGAAGTAATCCTTGACCTCAAGAGAGGTACCTGTTCATCTAAACATCACCAGTATTCTTTTACTGGGAGCATACTGAGAAAGTCTTTGAATCAGTCACGCTGGAAGAGGAATAAAATTACATGCATCTACTATTTATGTGTGATTTACCTAGCTCTAGCTCGATAACATTACAGCATTCCTTTCAAATTCCAAACGGATCAAAATGGAACATCCTCGGGAACCCAGGGGTAAAATTCTGTCGCTCGTTTCTCGAGCGAAACGAAAGTGGAAAAAGACTTAGTATTAGTTGGATTCAGGCTGCAAGTGGAATATTTTTTTCTAGCTAGCTCTATCTCGATAAATATAATTACTACACTGTCCCCTTGGCCAGATATTCCAAACTGAAGGAACAAAAAGATAGAATAAAACACGAGAGAAGATCATAATAATTGTCACAGTTCGCAAATGAGTTAGCGTTTCCTGACATGGGGGGCTGTTCTAAGTGATCAACGCCTGAAAACTCGATGCCTTTTTCAAGCCTTTTGTGCCGAAATCAAAATAAGTCAAAGAAGACCGCGGAGTAATGACTATAAAGTTCCTAAACATTCGACTTTTGAACCGGATACCTGACGAAATGTTTATAGCTTGAAGAAGGTGGTAATGGTGGGAATTGATGATGATGATTATCAAGTCACAATGTTGGCGATTGCGACGACTATATCAAACACAATATTTGCCCTTGTTGACATAACGTATCTGTATACTACCCGCGCCACAGTTCTTTTATGACATCGAATATTTCGAGTAAATAAGTCTTTTTGTCGTGCAGTAATAAAATGTTATGTCAGTGTTGATTTTATAAACGTCTTGAAGTTCATTCTATATTCTTGCTTTTTCAGCAGCAGGCTTTGTAGCGGTAGGTAGAAATATCCCAATAAATGTATAACAAATACTTCTAAATTTTATCAATAAACAACTTCTGGATTAATAAGAGTCAGGACATGGCTAAAGCCTGATTTTCACTAGCAACGCAAGCATAAGTATAAGCACAAGCGCCAGCATAAGACTCAAATCAAACTCTAAAAGAAATCCGGTCCAAGCCGAGGATGAAAAACGTTGATCCCTGTGCTTGTGCTTGCGTTTCTCAGTGTTCAGTCGCCGATCAATCAAACCCTGAAACAACCTCTGGATTTATCAAGGTATATCTGTTTATTCATTCATTTTATTCAGTATTTACCTCAGAGTAAAGTTTATTAGTATTACGTGTTGAAAGAAGTCATTTCTTGATCAAATAGTCATAATAATATTAATAGAACAATAGTAATCAAATATGTTACTATAGTGACAACACTTATTTTATTAAGTCTGTTTATAAAAGACTTGAAGTAAAAGCTAGGTAAACCTATCAGTTTTTAAGTGTCCATTAAGAAAATGATTATGAACGAATTATAGGCACTTCATACGATATAAATGATATGTCTGTTTTGTGAAGTATTTCAAGAGCGAGAGATAGTAGTTAAGGATAATTAGCTTTTATTGTCCTAGAAATTCGCTTCCGAAGCCGTGCGACAACTTTGATGTTTACCTATAAAAAATTAGATTCTAAGTGCGACCTACATAAAAATTTGGTTGATGGTTGATCTATGTCCTATGCTTTTTAGGGGCAATTGTTTTATAACTTATCAGAGCGTAGATCCATCCTATTTAAAGGAGCGTGTATCGTTCCGTGACCCCAATGAAAATTAGTTTCTTCAAAAGAGGCGGAGTCGACATAATACGAACATTAAGTTGCTGTCATCACGCTTTACAAAGGGCAAATTTGCTATTTCCATACAGGCCTGGCAAGTAGACGCCTTGGAGTACCAGTGAGAAGCTGAAAAGGCACGATCAAATAGAGTAATTAAGCCTGAGAATCAGTATGATATTGTTTACTCTCCTTAATACAACTTTTGGAAAAGAAGACAAGAAATTTTGAGGTTTTAAGGATTGAAAAAAAATTAGGGGGTAAAAGTGGCCAGAAACACCGACCTTCTCTTGATTAGGCTACAATTTGAGCAACCAAAATGGTATATGAACGTAGGTAAGTAGATAATTGAGTGAGCTCTTCTATTGGTATTCTACAGATCCATGCAGCGTCTACAAATAAAGGCCGTAGTGCCCCCTGAGATCAGGTGTCAATGTGGATAATGCACCACATGCTAGTATCCAAGAGCTTCGATCACCATGACATTTCCCGTTAAAAAAAACAGCAAAAGAACAAAGACTCCAAGTACCGATCATTTCTTAGTATTATTTCCAAAGTAAAGTATCCCTATTTTCAAGGTCATGGATAAGCAAACGTGTTTGCTGTGGCTCAGGTGGATAAGCATCATAGCGCGGGTGTCTAGGGATAAATGGCTTTCGATGCCATGAGCCATATGTGTGATATATTAGCTAGCCTGAGTTATTGAGTGATCGCATGGACAGCCTGTTGCCAAAACATATAGCAGAATAACCAATAGATAGAGTTTAGTGGTATCAAGCTGAGATTCGAGAGAACAGCCCAGATGCATCCCATTCAGCGACAAACCCCGGCGATTCGTTTGATCGTTGTAAGCGGGCAGGTCTGTGAATAGAAGCGCGGTTATAAAGCGAGTTGAACGTCGAAGATAGTCACTTGACGCTCGCAACGACCCCGAGAACTAGAGATTTAAAGAACATCAAGCATGGACAATATATCCATGTACAGCCAGGGAGGAACGATGTCACATCAGGGTATCGAACGAGCGCTAGCTATTGATCCTAGTAAGGAACCGTCGTTCACCTTAAGTCCTTTTCCCGAAGCAAATCAAAGCATGCTTGCGAGAGGTCTTCATCTACCTCATCGCCTCCCGGAAACTATTTACAACTCGAAGTCAATGTTAGGCAGCGAAGGGCCACCGTACTCATTCCAGTCGCATGCGAGTCCAATTCGAACGTCTTGCTCATCTTCAAACCACGAATACCCTCTTGTCTCGCCGTCAGGGATTCCACTTGGGCATAGCATGTACGACTCAATCTCTAACGGTGGTTCTCGCTATCCACAATGTCCAACCAATTTCAATCCAATCGCCTTGCATCAGCCCAAACCAGAGATGAAAACTCATGGACGAAGCTGGATGTATCCTCAAATGGCAGTGCCACCAGATCTCGAATCACAACAAAGACCTTATGGCCCTTTTCGCACTACCAACGAAATTGGATTCCCTAGAGTGGATCTTTACTCACAATCCTCATTCGTCTACGACAATCACCGTCAACTAACTCATCACCAGAACATGTATTCATCATTTGTAAGTCCTAAGATTATGAACTGTGAATGGATCGACCCACAAAACTATGGCAAAGGCAAGATATGTGGCAAGCAGTTCAGCATCATGCACGACATTGTCCGACATATAAACGACGAACATATTAGCCAGAACGATTCGCCATTACATGTCTGTCACTGGCGAAATTGCACGCGGAATGGTCATCCTTTCAAGGCCAAGTACAAACTTGTCAACCACATACGAGTCCACACAGGAGAAAAGCCATTCCCTTGCCCCTTTCCCGGTTGTGGAAAACTATTTGCTCGCTCGGAAAACTTGAAAATACACAAACGAACTCACACGGGAGAGAAACCGTTTATTTGTGAACACCCTGGATGTGATCGGCGCTTCGCAAACTCAAGCGATCGTAAAAAGCATTCGCACGTCCATACATCTGACAAGCCTTATTACTGCAAATATCAAGGGTGTAATAAAAGCTATACTCATCCTTCGTCACTACGTAAGCACATGAAACTACACGGCTTATCACCATCACCTCCTCTCCTAACAGAGACAGGGACGAACAACTCAAATCATGACTCCCAAAATCCTTCCTCTCCTCCGTCTAATATTCAACTTGGAGCAAACTCCTCCAACAGTACTCAGAATTCTACAGGAACAAATGAAACTAGAGAGAGAAGCCCTATCTGGTTCTCTTGCAACTGAATTAAAGACTTAAATTACCATTAATTCAAGAATTGTGATGCGGAATGTAGAAATAGGTTAAAGTTTGGAACACTCGCTTTAAGCCTAGAGTACTTGACGTTCGTTYTTCACGAATGTCGTTCTACATTTTTGAGAGTATTGTTATGTACATCTAAAAAGCTCGTTAGGGTTTATTGACATTGATGATAAGCAGTTCTACAAAAAAAAAACTACTACAGTTCTAAAAGTAGTCTTGCCGAGAACTGACTTTGAAGCTCCCATACCAAGAACTCACACTGCTTACAACCAGCTAGAGACATGTAACCAACACATCATCGAATTCTTAATCACAACAGCCACACGGCAGTCAAAATGGTCAGTAAGATACTACCTCAACCTAAAGGATTTCCTAAATTATCTAAGGTGTTTATTTGACACCTAGATAATAAGATTTCCCTTGCAAAGTATTTGTAAATATTGATACACCTATATGGTAACTAATTTTATGACACAGAGTTTACTTTGTTTTGCTTGACTTGTTTGAAATCGTATTTTAGAATGCCATGCGTAAAGAAAATTGATTTGATTGAGAACCCCTGAAGAGAACTGTCTCCTCGGAGAGGGTCTCTTTAGAAAGTACAAGTATTTCTTTAACAGCTTCGACGGAAATATCTCGGGGACATTAGTAAAATTTGATAAGTGGTCCACATTCTTGTGGACGCAATTGGCATTGCCTAGACTCTGGGTTTTAAAAAAATCTGATTGTCAATTGTCCAAGCATTTGAATGCGTTTAACTGAAATTCGTTTCGTTTCTTGGTGTTTATAAAAATCGGTTTCATTTCATGGTCTGCTTTACGTAGCAAACTGATATTAAATTAGATAGATAAATCTAGTGCGATAAAAGAATTAATATAGTTTTATCTGAAGTCATTAAAAACTGAGATAACGCGGAACTACTCGACGTTCATATGTTCAAATCATTGGCTCTTCACTAATTCAAATAAAATTTATTAATATAAAACTTTTACTGATGTGTATTTATTGTCATCTATCCATGCTTGTCGTCGATATATTTTGACAGAAAAGTCATCTTCGTCACTTGTCTATTCATGTCTGTCGTTCTCCATCTGATAGTACGAGACTAAACTATTACCGTGCGAGTTCCTAATTAAGACCCAAGCTTCTTAATTATTTAGTAGAGTTAGTTCGACCAATGTAGCTTGGGTGTGGTATTTGATGTTTAATAAATGGGCTTTATTCATATAATTTTTTTGTCTTTTTTGGTCAGGCTAGGCAAAGCTTAGCTCCATACACTTAGCAGACGCAATCTTAAAAATAATGGACAATCTTTCTGTTTTTGCACATGATTATTGACACCTAGCTTTCCTGATACGACGAGATTTGGCAAATATACTAAATGATATTGTACAGCACTCAAGTCTGAGCAGTTTCTTAATTTGTAATATCATTTTCAAGCTAGTCTTTGGCTTATATGTTGGCAATAAAGATCGGAATGCGTCTATCGCGCAGCATCGATCGTCACAAGTTTTCGTTCGATCGAAAACATTTTGATTCCATCCACTATATTATATGTATCAACCACCTACAACAAAAACACTTTAGTTACATAGGCAATTAAGCTAGATATATATCATTTGCTTTTAACGGACTAAATGGTGCTTTGAAGTAAATTCTGCGCAAAATCCAACCTCATACATAATCCAAGTTTTTCAGTGAACTAAGATTTCTGCACTCAAATCTTGTTCAGTTACTTTGAAATCCTGTTTACTTTTGAAGGCGTGAAGGGMTAAGTTGCATGTTGCTCACTCAAAATTGTCAGGCATTATGAAAATAAATATTTGGGAATAACTTGTAGCGAGTTTAAGTTTAAAGAATACAGGAAATGAAAATAGCAGCAAGCATCAGATTTATTTTGCCAGAGAAATGCGGCTCAACTGAGCTCAACAGGTTTTCAGAACTAAATGGCGGCGTTGAACATGATCGGGGCGGTCCTCACAATCAACTGAAACACTCGCATTTCTAAACAAATAAAATCAATCCACTTGGTAAAGTACTAAAAAACAATATATCCTTTCAAATGTATTAAGGACAGACCAGGCGTGGAGACTGAGCAAATTGTCGTGCCAAGACCGGTCGAAGCCTGAAGAACCAAGCGAGCAGTTTGTCTTCGGCTTTTGAAGCACAGGCATTCAACGAGGCCAAAACTCCGACCTGAAACAGTGTAACAAAAATATTGACGACCCATACTTTTGAATAAAATTTTCAACTTAACTACTATCCAGCAACTGACAATGTCGTAAACATTTTCTTATTTCGATATGCTTGAGAATTTTTTGTGGAAATCAGTTCGAGAAACGGTTTCTTTTGGAGAATACCTTCGCCCTCGCAATTGCTGAACTTGGTGAAATTTCGTTTGACAACTGGGACAAAGATATTCGAGTGTAGATTTAACTAGAGGTTAAACTCAAAAACCCATCCGTGCAAAAAAGTACATTTGCGTGCCTCATAATCTCGAAAACTAACTAGAGAGTTGAATCGTGACACTCTATTGAACGTCCTTTGAATCCAAGAAATATTTCCATAGTATTTGACCAACAGACCGCAAATTTAATCTGAAGATCAAAAAAATCCTTACTATTGATTTTTTTWAATGTTTTTATTTGTATTTCTGGAGGAGTTGGAAAACCTCTAACCATGAGACTTTTGGACTTTTCGTTGGAGAGCAGGCGTTGAAGATGTTGTAGTTCTTTTTGTAAATCTTCGTCGTCCATAAAATTCGTATTTTGAAGGGRAAAAAACACAGGCCAACTTTAAAAATAAACATCCTAATTCAGTTCCTATTTAAGAAATTTATTAATGGATTAATCCCTTGGATTTTTTCCTTTTCTTTTCTTTTCTTTTATCTTTTTTTCTTTTCTTTCTTTTTTATATATTATATTCTATTTTTGTCAGTTTGTGTCATGATTCTGAACTTCAAAGCACAATGATGGACAAAATCAGCGCAGCACAAGTACCGAGTTGCGTGGCACGCCAATATTCAAGCAGATAAAGAACCGTCCTGTCCTCTTTGTCTAAACACTGCCCAGCATTATAAGGTCAGATAATGAACTCTTATAGTAGTTGTTAATGTTAGTCTTCTTGTTATTGTTGTTCGTATGTGTACATCCTTATTGCCATTGTTACCTACGTTGGTCTACTTTATACCAACCGCCCATATTAAAACACTACACGTCGCGCGCTGATTTGGCGGGACGTCCCACTAGTACTGCCAATAGTTCGCCCTAACCGGCTCTAAAGGTCAGAACTTCAATTACCATCAACCATTTCCAAAGGGTTTTATTTTTCTTGTAAAATAGAGAGAATCCTAATTGATGTATGACTTTGTCTTTTTGTATTGCTTTTCTGCAATTTGTCTGATATTCTGAGCCGTTCCTTTAACTCGATTTTCACATTTTTATTTATGTTTCCTGAATTGCGTTTATCATTCTTGTCCCAGCTGGTATTTATCGTGATTTTTCATGTAATCATGCAAGCCTGAAGCGTCAAGTTCACGTTTATTCTCCCCCCCCCCCCCCCCCCCCCAAAAGAAAAAAGAAAACTAAAAAAAGAAAGAAAAAAAAAGACGACATTTCATTCGAAAAATAAGTCAGTATTGGATCTCTCCGAAGGAAAATCTTGTTATGATGAATTTTAGAAGTAGTGTATTCGTACTGTAGTCTAGGTGTCATTGGCTCATAATGAGTGTAGGTGGTGTAGAGAAAAAGGACAATAAAGTACACGGAGGCGTTCGACTAGCCTATCGTGTCAATCCCACAATGATGACCTACTTTAATCTCTAGAATCGTTTTTCGCTTCTTTACCTAATTTAACAACTAATAAAAAAATAAACGTATTAAGACTCAGGAAACAACGTTATACCAAATTGCAGGATTGCCTTTCCGGAATATTATCTTAATAAACACACCCCAAGACTGAGTTTATTAAACTGGATCTTCCGGATCACAGGAAAGGAAAGAGTCTATAAGACTAGAAGTCTTTATTCAGGGCTGTTAATTACAAAGAGCACAAAGCCATTTCCTGAACCCACGCTTAAGCCTGTGGATTTGGTCAAAGGTACATAGGGATTAGGATTTTCACTATATAGTGTTACAAAAAACCGGCATTAGTCGAAATGCCTAGCATAATATTCCTGTTTCACRAGGGCAAAAGGATGAAAGATATTTAATTTTCATGGGAAGGGGACATGAATGGAAGCTTTCAACAGATTTCATCCCACGGTATAAACAGATTATAAACCCCAATGTTAACTTATTGAATTATAAAGATTCAGTTTTTGACCACAAATGTAAGGGACGAATTTTTGGGGTAAGCTGAAAAATATGTTATTTTCCAGAAAGGAGCCATGAAACTTTGAACAGACTTCGTCCCACGGTATATACCGATTACAAAACCCAATGTTAACTTTTTGAATYATAAAGCTTCATTTTTTGGGGAGAAATCATGTAACGACAACGCAGTTTGTTTGGRAATACATTTATTATTAGTAGATAGTCCCAGTTACACCAAATACTAGCCAGATGACTGCAACTTCTTTGGCAAGGGAAAGAAACGAGATTGTTCACATTCAAAGCAGTTCTTTGTAACTTATAAAACCCACAATTGTATTTCCGTTTTCGACGAGAATTATATGCGTAATATTGACAAATTTGCCTTCACAATCAGTACCGACCGATACAAAATGCTGGCAAGAGAAAATATTACATATATTTTATCCCAATGAAYTAAAGTAAGTAACCCAAAATGAACTACATTCTGTCGAGAAGCACCCATATTTATTTTAAGCTGTAATGCATTTTTGAAAATGAAATGCTCCTACACAAAATATTGGCAAGAGTGAGTAGAGGATTCTTGTTTTGCAAGCAAATCTAGAGAATTGATCGTTTATAGATAATACAACACATGATATACGGTTTTTTAAACATTTTATTTATCTTTTTGTTGACTTTATTTTTTTACTGATTAACTTATTAAATCATTTGTATCAATGACAAATATAGCGACATGGTAAACACCTTGTAAGTCTAATTTTATAATTAGCTTATTTCTATCATATGCTAACATTAACATTAACACCACTCGTACTTTTACTCGCACGAGAAGTTAAATCAAAGGCCAGTGCAAGCTTCTGCATTTGACAATAAAACGAAAACACATTAAAGTTACACAAATTTTTTTAGTATCCCTGCGAAATATCTAAGCAAATACTTATTAAACTCTTTGAATTAGCATTCTTCCAAAAAGGAAAACACAAGTATATAAGTAATATGCTTCTGCACTTGATAATCAAACGAAAACGTGTACATCCCTATCAACCACACAAAAATATATTTCGTAATATTTGTGTACAAAACTTTGACATGAAAATCTTTGGAACTGAATGGCATTTTCTAGCATTTCATGTAGAAAAAAGAATATATTTTGTGCTGTTTATTGGCATAAGTTTCTCACTTGTTATTTAATCCTAACGATGGAAAAAATTAGCACGATAAATTAGATATGGATTAAATGATTTAACAATTTCAGTTTTTTTTTTTTACTTGCAAATAGTCGGTTCGTGAATCAACCTAAAGATATTGGTAAAATAATTGTCCGTATAGGAAGTACATTTAGTATAACCTTTGAATGATAACATAAATTTAATGGAAATTAAAGTTGACAAAGAAAGGAAATATTTTCAGTTAAAGACAAGCAACGTTTCTTAGAAATTTCAGACTCTATACAGCGAATAAGCGAATAAAAAAATTAATGGAAACTTGACTTTTTAATGATGAAAATATTTAAAAAATATTGCACAACCTTCTGGATAGCTTAACAATGACTTGCAGAATAAAGGATTTTTTAGTAAAAGAACTGCACTTTTAAAACGAAGCTTGGAAACTAAATCGTGTTGATGAATAAAACAATCTAAAAAGAACAGTTGATGGAGAAGAGAAGTGATGTGGCAACGAGAGAATGGAATCCTTATCATGCCAGATAGATGAAAACAAATATACCAAACACAGAGTCCAAAGGATTCTCCGGTTTTCGTACCAGTCGTTAGTACCAAAGAAGTTTTCGTCAATATTTAAAAGTGTAATAGACGATAGAACTTGTCCTTGCTGAAAGCATGTGAAGTGTTTTTGAGTCCAGATTTTTTTAAGCATACAGCTTTTTTCTTTCTTTTCAAGATATGAGAGCAGAGTTGAATTCGATTGATTCGAGGATTTTCTTCTTCGGGAGAGTCAGCCTTGCACTGATTTTTATCAGCCCAGACTTGTTTTGCAGCTGGGATATCGATATTATCAATGTTTGGTTATAACAATCTCCTATAACTGATAAATCTAGTTCCTATTTCGTAATCCCTCAAAAACAAATGCTAGAAAGTAAAAAAGTGCCGATGAATCATAGAAACTCGGATTAGAAAAATATTTCAGACTTTTATTGCATTACCTTCTTGATAAAATAAAGAGGCAAACGACATTTATAGAATGGGTTTTTGAAACCATCATCTTATTTAGTACGAAATAGACCGGAACATTTAATTACTTTTTTTCACTGATGTCTTATGAGAAAATAAGAATACAACTTTCTATAGTTTACTTATCTGCTTTTGATTTTTTGTATCGCTCAGCATCAAACTTGAAAACTATTTCCTAGTTTGATGTACGAGACTGGCCTTTTCTCCGGGTTCTACGGTTCCAATTCGATCATGGCGTAGCCGTGTCCTGACATCGATCAGCATGCACAGAGGCTGTTTCAGGGTGCCGATAAAACTTGGTTATAAAAAGCTTCAAGTATTTCATGTATTCCTTAGTATACTGAGATCACACCGATTCACCTCAATATCGAACACTTGTTTGTAAATCAGTGTACTTTTTAACAAATTAAGATTTGTTTATACCGACTTTACCTTTTCGAGAGAACAAAGCAAAAAGTACCTAACGAATGAATTAATCATGGTTCAACAAAAAAATATCCCAAATATTATTTCCTTTTTCACAAAGTTCTTGGAAACAGAAGCAATTTTTAAAGTATTTTATGAAAAGAGCGGAGAGAGGAAAGCCGAAAGAATTTTAACAGTTGCTAATGGAAACTTCTAGAAGATTTTTAAAGCGAAAAACAAATTACAAAAAAATTTAATGCGTACTCATAATATATACATATGACGAAGTACAAGTTTACCTTTTGCTTTTAAACCCTCTGCCCTGATTGCTCATTTGATTTTTTTTTACAGAAGCTAGGTTTGATAACTACGGTTCGGTGTGTAAACTTTGGAATTATAGACTTCTCGAAGTTTGCAGCTCAATTTTCAGACCATTTGCATTTCAACTTTACTTTCTAAGCCCCTTGGCAACAATGCTTTATTCCTTTTTCTTCCGAGTTAAAAATAGCTTAATAAACAATAAATCTCAACACGGGTACTTCTTTTTCTCAGAATAATAAATCCTAACGGCCTATTGCTTGCGGTTTCTTAAACACCAACGTGTGAAACTAGAAACACTGGGCCGCCACTCATTTCAAAAACGCACTTCCAACATCCGCCTTTCTGACTCGTGTGAAAAAACAGTCATTTGAAAAACCAAGTTTATTGTTTCCTTACTGTTTAAAGCCTTATGACCCCCTAATATCTCGGTGCTTGTACTTTTTACGAGATAAATAACCCATTCTGGGATTGTGAGGAGAAGTCATAATATGAGTCGTTGGTGAGAACTTTGCCATATGTTGCATAGGCAAGCGAAGATTTAATCAGTGAGAGTTATTCACAATAAATGACAAAAGCCATGCAAAAAGAAAACCTGGCAACCAAAGTTTACTTTTATTTTTCTTTATTCAAGGATTTTTCTTGAACGTAATTCGTATTTATTCCGAATTCGGTAGAATTTTCATTTTCTTGTTTGACTTTTTTGACTAGAATAATTTCATAATATTTATTCCTTTACGAATTGATTTTCTGAGCATAACATATTGTTTTATAAAGCATATATAGTCACGAGTAGCCTTAAAATATTTCCCTACTTGCCGATCGCTTCTTCTTCATCTCTTCATCTCTCATTTGGTCCTTAAAAAGATTTTTAGGTCTCGTGATGTCACTTCTTCGCTCATTTCTGGTCTTCCTTATTTGTTCGCTAAATCACAAGATTTCTTTTTTGTTTCTCTTAATTTGTTATTTTGGCTTAAGTTTGCTTATCTTATTCGCTTCCGTCCTTCTTCTCCTTTTTTTTTTTTTTTTTTTTTTTTTTTTTTTTTTTTTTTTTTTTTTTTTTTTTTTTTTT